TCTAATAGTAACTATGAATGATACTTTTATAGAAAGATAATGGTAAAATATTGATAGCCCTTTTTATTTGCTTTTTCTATTCCATTCTATCATGAATAAGTTGTAAATTTATGATTAGCAGTGAGTTGATGTGGGTAAGAATGTGGATATTTACCTAATAAGTGTCTCAAATTCAATTTTCATCAAGACACACCATCGCAGAGAGTGCAATTTATCCTTGGTACAGAGGATGATGATGAAGAACACATTCCCCATGATCTTTTTACTGAAATGGATGAACTTTGTTTTAGAGAAGGAGAAGAATATGAATGGAAAGAAACTGCCAGGTAACTTGGAGGATAATTCCTTTTGCTTCTCATTCATAATTATAACACTAAGAGAAGTGGGCATGCGTTAGAATATTTGAGGATCATTGAGTAACTGTAACTTAAAAATCCTTAAGCATATTTCTTCTTGCTTACTAGCTATAGATATTACCGCTTTGTCTAAGTAGAGTTTTTTCACATTTTTGTAAAAGTTACACTGTCATTTCACAACCTTGAAAAAATAAGGTAAATAAAGTGAAATCCTATACTTGGACCCATTGAACTCTTTGGATTTTAATTCTGAGTAGGCAAATATAGATCTCCGTAAGTCTCTTTAAAAAGCAAGTTCCTAAATGGTACAGGGTACGTGAGAAAGAATAGATCAAATATAGATTTGAGAAACTGTGGCAAATGAGAGAGCTTAAATTAAGATACCAGTGTAGACTGAATACGATGGCTGTATTTTAAAAACTAAGACTTTTTTTAGTGTACATGTTCATTATGCATATGTATATTGCAGATGGCTAAAATTTGAAGAAGATGTTGAAGACGGTGGTGAACGGTGGAGCAAACCTTATGTGGCTACCCTGTCTCTCCACAGTCTATTTGAATTGAGAAGTTGTATTTTAAATGGAACAGTCATGTTAGATATGAGAGCCAATTCACTGGATGAAATAGCAGGTTATATACATTTTACTTAAGATTTTTAAAATGTGTTTTATATGTTTTGTAAAGTAATTAAAATATGTTTTGGTCTGTTTGCAAAAGAAACATGATTAACAAAGCAATTCTGTGCTCTAGTTGGAGTGCTCTGTAATACTGCATTGATACTTCAAAATCCTGTCTGTTGTAGCCCAGCAGAGCATAAATTAAGACAGACGTTTGTATTTCACCATCTTTTTCAGGGCTTTAAAAATAGTTCTTTCTGATTGGAAGCAGTGACAAGGACATTGTTCAATTCTGCTTGGTTTAGGATAAATGCTTTCCTTTTCAGATCAGAATTGCTCAACCGAGCACACTCCCATTCTTGCAGTGACTCTCAAGCTCTATTATGTATTCTAACAGACCATCACCAGAGCTGCTAATATTTTTAGGATTAAACAGAAGATTATGATCCAGAGTAGCTTTCCCTGATTTAGATGTGCTCCAGATGGGTGAATGAAATTCCCGAGGCAGCTTAACTATTGTTGAGAATTCTGGGAATTGAACTCTAAACATATAGAGGGTGCCCAGGCTAGAAAAGGCTGTTCTAGAGCAGGAATAAGGTTAGTGATTATTTTTCCTATGAATAGCTGTTAAATGAGAAAAATGAACTGTGGCCAGCAGCCAACAGTGGGTAGTTTATAGCATTGTTGAATTATGTAGGATTTTTTTCTTTATCACCTCATCCCTACACTAAGCCACCTTTCCTGAAAATACCAAAACACAATGAATTCCCTGAGGAGAATTTAAAAAGAAGAATATGTCTACGATATCCCAGCAGCTGGATAATACAGAGAATCATAAGTTTTAAGTGTACTCAATTTTTGTTAGGCATTTTATGATTTAGTCCTAAATATGTTAGATACTATCTTGTTAGACATTTCCTACATACCCAAGGCTTGAAGATGTCTCTCAAGTTATATTAATATTTAATACTTATTTTAAATTTCATTTTTCCTTCATAGACATGGTATTGGATAACATGATAGCTTCTGGTCACCTTGATGAATCAATGAGAGAGAATGTCAGAGAAGCCCTTCTCAAAAGGCATCATCATCAGAATGAAAAAAAGTTTAGTAATCGGATTCCCCTCGTCCGATCCTTTGCAGATATAGGCAAGAAACATTCTGACCCTCTCTTGCTTGAAAGAAATGGTGAGATAAGTTGTGGCATCCAGTTTTTTTTAATGTTGAATAATATAATGCAGAGATGTGAGAAAAGTCAGCACATGCAGGAAATAAGATCAGAATTCTTTCCTAACAGATAAGATATTGTATAAAAAGTTCTGCAGAAAATAACGTTATATTTATATCTTTTGAACTCTGAAAGTTTAGGACTATGATTGGACCATTGAACTCAAAATAAATTATTTTATAGTTTTGTCTTTCTAGTACCTTAAATCAGGATATATGTGAAAGCAGAGCTATGGATATTTTGTTACATATGCGATGTCTGTTTCTCCTTTGTTTTCTGAATCTTCCTGTTGTCAAATTCAGTAATGCCAGATTTTTGTTGATATAAGCGTAGAAGTTAGCTTTCTTTTAGTACTAATTAAGGAGTCAAGCTTGGGAGAAAAGC